ATATAACTAATTGAAATATAAATATATTGATTAAATAAATAATTTTATTTTTCTAACTAATATTTAAAAATAATTTTATTATTGTTATAAAAATAAATATAATTTATTTTTTTTTATACATACAATATGTATGTTAAAATTGAAGCTCATATGATTTATTGTTATATTATACATGTAAAATTGATAAAAAATACAAAAGTTATTAACTTTTAAAATACATTTACACTTCAATGGTTATAATAACGAAATAATATTAAAATAAAATTAATACATGTAACATGACCATAAATAATAATATATTTATGAATAATGTGGACCTAATTATTTTCGGATTAAAAGTAAATTAAAATCTACCAAAGTCTTAATAACTAAGAATGTAATTTCGCGACGTAGGATCCCAAAGCATGCGAGTCTGTCACTTAAGCTCAACATGTTTTGAATTAATATATGCTAGTACAACACCCGTGTATTACACGAGTGCTTGCTAATTTTTTTCTTAAAATCTAAAACTAATGAGAAAAAGTAGTCAAAAATTTAAATACCTTTTACAAAAATATATATATTATTATATATTTAGTATGACACTTTTTATTTGTGCGACTTACCTTTGTTATATTATAATAATTTTTTAACTTACAACATATAACTACATTGAAAATAAATATATCAATTGATAAAAAATTTTATTTTTCTAATGAATTTAATAAATATTATTATCTTTTATTATTATAAAGATAAATATAATTTATTTATTTCATATATACAATATGGATGTCAAATCGAAGATCATCAAAAGATGATTACTTTGATATATAATATATGTAAAATACATATTCAATAGTTAATTGAAGGAAACAAATCAAAGTCAGTGATATATTAGTCACTTATTGCCTCACTATGTAAAATTACAAATAATTAAAGGGTTATATTAGTATAAGTGATATTAAAATACATAAGTTAGATAAATAATATTTATAGAATGTCCAAACCTAGATTATTAATCCCCCTATATATTAATCCAGAACGCGCTGAGCCTACGTGGCTGCTTCTGGTACTTCGAAATTCTATGTGGCAAAATTACATGCTTCGTTATTAGGCTTGGGTAAATTTTAATTAATTCAAAACCAAATATAATTAGGTTCGGATTACCATAAATATGTTGATTATTTATGGTCATGTTACATGTATTAATTGTATATATATTTTAAAAGTTAATAATTTTTGTATTTTTTCTCAGTTTTACATATGTAATA